TAAAGCCTCCTGAAGTCAACAAGGCAACGGCCAGTGATACCCATTACTTCTGCATGGTGTGTGTGTGTGTGTGTAATAACAATAAATAATAATAAACGTATATTACTCAGAGCATCCAGTAATAAAATATACAGGCTAACAATTTATCTAAGACAATGACACTTAAGCATTAAATACATTACAGGCTGTACAGTACATAAATCAGGAGTTGCTTATTATTAACAATAGATGGGATGGTGATGTTCTATATCCATCGGTGCAATCTTGCGGCTGAATTTACAGTGGCGGACTGAGCGAGTTGGGCAATGTATTGACTGAGGCGATGACGAGGTGGTAGTCCACGGTGTGTGTATGTGTGTAAGATCAACCAAGAATGAATACTTTGAGATATTAAGATATACATTACATTCTATTTCCCTCCGACAAAATCAAATGTAAACGCTGATCACACAACAAAGGTAGGATTACTCCCCTTAGACGCCAGATGCCCCTCCTCACCCCTCTCCCCACCCTCCTCCTCACCCTCCTCACCCTCACGTACTTAAGTACAGTATTTGTAACCGTGTTGACAGCATTTTCTAGTTGTTGTAATCTTGTAGTATAGATGTTCTGTCTGTCTGTCTGTCTGTTCATTACAAGATTGACCACGAGACCCACAACACTCCAAGAGACTCACAAGACAAGAGAAACTCACAAGAAGAAACTCACAAGACTTACAAGAAAACTCACAAGACTCACAAGAGAGACTCAAACACAAGAGAACCACTCAAACCAGACTTACAAGAAACTCACAAGACCACAAGAGAGACTCACAAGACTCACAAGAGAGACCAACAAGAGAAACCCACAAGACCACAAGACTCACAAGACCACAAGAGAGACCAACAAGAGAAACTCACAAACTTACAAAGAGACCATAAGACCCACAAGAGAGACTCACAAGACTTACAAGAGACCTCACAAGAGAGATCACAAGACTACAAGAGACTCAACAACAGAAACTCACAAGACTCACAAGAGAGACTCCACTGGAGACTCACAAGAGTCTCTCAAGAGAGACTCAAAGACTCACAAGAGAAACCCCACAAAGAAACCCACAAGAGAGGCCTACAAGAGAAACACAAAGAGAGGCTCACAAAAACCACAGAGAGACTCACAAGAGAGACTCACAAGAGAGACTCTATCAGCGTGCATTGACAAGTGATATACACTTGTGATAAACTGCACCATTGCCCCAGACACCTGGCTCGTGTAGTGCTACCGCTGTAGACGCATTAATCCAGGGGTGAGGTGGTGGATGGTGGGATGGTAGGTGAGTGGTGGAGGTAGAATGGTGGTGATAGTAGGATAGGTGATGGGTGGTGTTGGTGGTGGTAGGATAGTGGTGATAGTAGTGATGATGGTGGTGATAGTGGTGGTGATGTAGGATGATAGTAGGTGATAGTGGTGGTGGATGCAGGATAGTGGTTGATAGTGGTGGTGGATGGTAGTCAGAAGGAGGACGATGGAGGAGGAAGGAAGGGGTAGGGGGGGGGGAGGAGATAGGAGGTGGTGGGGATGGAGGAAGGAGGACCCATCACTTTATCTTCAGATTGACTAATAGATGGAACCCTCATTTGAATTTTGATGAGCGATGACGCAAGTGCTGCCCACTGCCGCCCCTCCCTGCCACCTGCCACTCTGATGCTCTTGTTGATGACTGATGCAGCGAAACTGAGTTTACGTCATCTATTGAGTCTCTGGCGCTCTCTGATGCTCTTTGTTTATCTCTATCATCTCAATGTTTGTCATCTATTGAGTCCATGGTGTCTCTGATGCTCTTTTTTCTCACATCCAATGTTTGTCATCTATTGAGTCTCTGGCGCTCTCTGATGCTCTTTGTTTATCTCTATCATCTCAATGTTTATGTCATCTATTGAGTCTCTGGCGTCTCTGATGCTCTTTGTTTATCTTCATCATCTCAATGTTTATGTCATCTATTGAGTCCATGGTGTCTCTGATGCTCTTTTGTTTATCTCACAGACGCATCAAAAGCTACAGAAACTCATCAATAGACGATAAAGACGCATTAAAACTGAATCGAAGCATAAATAATTGAAAAAAGAACAAACAGATGAGTGTTAGAACGCATGAACCATCGTGTTGCTGGGTTGGTTTTAACTTATTAAACCTGGAGATAAACGCATCGAAAACGCCTGAACAAATGCTTTAAACCCATCAAATACAAATTAAATACACGAGACGACGCATGAAGCCAAGGTGATGTGTGAGTGCGTGGAGCCTAATTGTGTGTGAGTGCGTCGAGCGTCATAATTGCGTGTGAGTGCGTCGGTCGTCATGATTGCGTGTGAGTGCGTCGGTCGTCATGATTGCGTGTGAGTGCGTCGGTCGTCATTTTTCCCTCATCAAATCACTGTTGGGGACGCATTTGGTCAGCTTATATGGAGAGGCCGTAATTACTTACTGCCATTACCTACCTCCCTCTCTCACTCTCCTCCCTCCCTCACCTCCTCACCACCTCCCTCCCTCACCCCTCTTCTCACCCTCCTCCCTCCCTCCCTCACCTCCCTCCCTCCCTCCTCACCTCCCTCCTCCTCACTCCTCCCTCCTCACCCTACCTCCTCACCTACCTCTCACCTCCTCCTCACTCCTCCTCCTTCACCCTCCCTGACCTGCCTGACCCTTCCTTGCCCTCACTGACCAAACCGCCGCTACAAACAGTATCAATCCCTGACTCTTTCTCAACAGATTATGTACATGAAACTGCGCCTAGGGTACAGGTACCTATGGGAGTACATTGGCAACCCTGAGCCTGGCCGCACTGTTTGTAAACTTAGGCCAACCCGATTCTCACACCCTCTTCTCACTACATCCCTACTTCTGTCCTATGACCTCCTCCTACAGGTCCCCAGCTGTTACCAACACCCTTCCTCCCTGACCAGATATCCTCCTCCTAGTGACAGACCTGGCCTACATTAAGGACCTGCCACGCTTGGCCATAAACAGATGAAATGTACTGGAACTTTCCACACACTCACTCATCTCTGTCACTTTATGTAACTTGCTGACAAAACCTATGACCCTCAGGCTTCTACGCCCTTAATGCACGAGTCATAAAGGCAAGAATGAACTTGGCATGCTTCCCAGATGGGCGCTGTAACGCTTTGGGCATCACCTACACAGGATGTAAGGGGTGCCCACAAACCAGCTCGGGGCAACCTGTAAACGTAAGGCTAAAGATGGGGATGAGGAGAGGATGGGGGAGGAGGAGACGGGGAGGAGAGGACGGGGAGGAGAGGACGGGGGGAGGAGAGGACGGGGGGAGGAGAGGACGGGGAGGAGAGGACGGGGAGGAGAGGATGGGAGGAGAGGACGGGGGAGGAGGAGGACGGGGAGGAGAGGACGGGGGAGGAGAGACGGGGAGGGAGGAGACGGGGAGGAGGAGAGGACGGGGAGGTGAGGACGGGGGGGGAGAGGACGGGGAGGAGAGGACGGGGAGGGAGGAGAGGACGGGGAGGAGGAGACGGGGAGGAGAGGACGGGGAGGAGGAGAGCAGGGGAGAAGAGGATGGGGAGGAGAGGACGGGGAGGAGAGGACGGGGAGGAGATGACGGGGAGAGGACGGGGAGGAGAGGACGGGGGAGAGGACGGGAGGAGAGGACGGGGAGGAGGAGGACGGGGAGGAGGAGAGGACGGGTGGGAGAGGAGAGGACGTGGGGAGGAGAGGACGGGGAGGAGAGGATGGGGAGGAGGAGAGAATGGGGGAGGAGAGGACGGGGGGAGGAGGAGGACGGGGAGGAGATGACGAGGGGAGGAGGAGGACGGGGAGGAGAGGACGGGGAGGAGAGGACGGGGAGGAGAGACGGGGAGGAGAGGATGGGGGGAGAGGACGGGGAGGAGAGGACGGGGAGGAGAGGACGGGGAGGAGAGGACGGGGAGGAGAGACGGGGGAGGAGAGGACGGGGAGGAGAGGACGAGGAGGAGAGGACGGGGGAGGGAGGAGAGGACGGGGAGGAGAGGACGGGGAGGAGAGGATGGGGGGAGGAGAGGACGGGGAGGAGGACGGGGAGGAGAGGACGGGGAGGGGGAAGAGGACGGGGAGAGGAGAGGACGGGGAGGGAGAGGACGGGGAGGAGAGGGAGGGGAGGAGAGGACGGGGGGAGAGAGGACGGGGAGGAGAGGGACGGGGAGGAGAGGACGGGGAGGAGAGGACGGGGAGGAGAGGACGGGGAGGAGAGGACGGGGAGGAGAGGGATGGGAGGAGAGGACGGGGGGGAGGAGAGGACGGGGAGAGGGGGGAGGAGAGGACGGGGAGGAGAGGACGGGGAGGAGAGGACGGGGAGGGGAGAGGACGGGGAGGAGAGGACGGGGGGAGGAGGAGGAGGGGAGGAGAGGACGGGGGAGGAGAGGACGGGGAGGGAGAGGCGGGGGGGAGAGGACGGGGAGGAGAGGACGGGGGAGGAGAGGACGGGGGGGAGGGAGAGGACGGGGGGGAGGAGAGGACGGGGAGGGAGAGGACGGGGAGGAGGAGGATGGGGGGAGGAGAGGACGGGGAGGAGAGGACGGGGAGGGAGGAGAGACGGGGGAGGAGAGAGGACGGGGAGGAGAGGACGGGGGAGGAGGAGAGGACGGGGGAGGAGAGGAGGGGAGGAGAGGACGGGGAGGAGAGAGGGGAGAGGAGGGGGGAGGAGAGGACGGGGAGGAGAGGACGGGGAGGAGAGGACGGGGGAGGAGGAGAGGACGGGGAGGAGAGGACGGGGAGGAGGAGAGGACGGGGAGGAGAGAGGACGGGGGGAGGAGGAGGACGGGGAGGAGAGGACGGGGAGAGGAGAGGACGGGGAGGGAGAGGAGGGGGGAGAGGACGGGGGAGGAGAGGACGGGGGAGGAGAGACGGGGGAGGAGAGAGGACGGGAGGAGAGGACGGGGGGAGGAGAGGACGGGGAGAGGAGAGACGGGGAGGAGAGGACGGGGGAGAGGACGGGGAGGAGAGGACGGGGAGGGAGAGGACGGGGAGGAGAGGACGGGGAGGGAGAGGACGGGGGAGGAGAGGACGGGGGAGGAGAGGACGGGGAGGGGAGGAGGAGACGGGGAGGAGGAGAGGACGGGGAGGGAGAGGAGGGGAAGGGGAGGAGGGAGAGAAGGGGAGGAGGAGGACGGGGGGAGGAGAGGACGGGGGAGGAGAGGGGAGAGGACGGGAGGGAGGACGGGGAGGAGAGGACGGGGAGGAGGAGGACGGGGAGGAGAGGAATGGGGAGGAGAGGACGGGGAGGGGAGAGGACGGGGAGGAGAGGACGGGGGAGGAGGAGGACGGAAGGAGAGGACGGGGAGGAGAGAGGAGGACGGGGAGGAGAGAGGACGGGGAGGAGAGGATGGGGGAGGAGAGACGGGGAGGAGAGGACGGGGAGGAGAGGACGGGGAGGGGGGGGAAGAGGACGGGGAGAGGAGAGAGGACGGGGAGGAGGAGGGACGGGGAGAGAGGACGGGGAGGAGAGGACGGGGAGGAGAGGACGGGGAGGAGAGGACGGGGAGGAGAGGACGGGGAGGAGGAGGACGGGGAGGAGGAGGGAGGGGAGGACGAGGAGAGGGAGGGAGAGGACGGGGAGGAGAGGACGGGGAGAGGACGGGGAGGAGAGAGGAGGGGAGGGAGAGGACGGGGGAGGAGGAGGACGGGGGAGGAGAGGACGGGGAGGAGAGGATTGGGGGAGGAGGAGGACGGGGAGGAGAGGACGGGGAGGAGAGACGGGGAGGAGGAGGACGGGGGAGGAGAGGACGGGGAGGAGAGGACGGGGAGGAGAGGACGGGGAGGAGAGGACGGGGAGGAGAGGACGGGGAAGAGGACGGGGGAAGAGAGAGGACGGGGAGGAGGGGAGGAGAGGATGGGGGAGGAGGAGAGGACGGGGAGGAGGAGGACGGGGAGGGAGAGGACGGGGAGGAGGAGGACGGGGAGGAGAGGACGGGGAGGAGGAGGACGGGGAGGAGAGGAGGGGAGGGAAGAGGACGGGGAAGAGGAGAGGACGGGGGGAGGAGAGGACGGGGAGGGGGGGAAGGACGGGGGAAGAGGAGAGGACGGGGAGGAGGAGAGGACGGGGAGGGGGAGGAGGACGGGGGAAGAGGAGAGACGGGGGAGGAGAGGACGGGGGGAGGAGGAGGACGGGGAAGGGGGGAAGAGGACGGGGAAGAGAGAGGACGGGAGGAGAG